TTTGCATTTTCTTTAGAAGCATGCAGAGATACAGCATTTTGATTTTGACAGTTGTGAGAGATGCTCCTTGCTCTCCCCTCTCCTCAAAGTCATCCTTGAAGAGAAGGCAGCAAGGTCTGGTTTAGAAGTCTTCTCTAGGTCCTTCCCCAGAGAATCCTGATTGCAGCTGCCCTCCCTGCCAACTCGAGGACTTTCCCATTGGAGCCAAGTGTTTCTTCTGCAGTATGGAGCCTGATGCAGAAAGCCTGGTCAAGGCCTAGCATCGCTGTGTGACTGGCATGTAGAAACCCCATGGGCCACAGGAGAAGGGACAGCGGGCACCCCCATCTGTGGACCCCTCAGTAACGAGCGTGACCAAGGCAAAGTCATCGCTGGTTCCCTCTCCCCAGCAGTAGGAGAGCTGCCCGCCTCTGATCGGGAGCACAGGAGAGGTGGTGGCTGGAATGGGCCTTTTCTTGCAGGTGTCAGTATTCAGTATGAGGTTTGTCAGACTCAGGTGCACTTTGAGGCGTTAAGTGCTAAACCACCTTCTCTGTCTCCCTGAAGTGCGCCCCAGCAGTTTACCAAACCCCACCATGTAGGGACTGTCTGGGAGAAGTCAGACACTTAAGTGTGGGAGCCCCAGGCCAGTTCTTTGAAACCCCAGTTCTTAGCAGCAGAATTCTTCTGTGCTGCAGAGTGTAGGTAACTTCTTCCATCAGAGATGAGGACTGTCAGGAAAATAAATCTTTAATACAGATCCAGAGTCCTTTGCCTGCAGTTCCAAACCCTGAAAGCAGAGCTTAAAAAACTTATCGGGTCAGTGTTCAGTTAGGATACACCGTGTGTAACTTCCCACGCTTCCAAAACAAGATACAAACCATGGCCCATGAGGTTTCCTCATCCTGCAAGCTGTTCGCTCTCCCTCACAATCCTCCCAGCAACCGTCTTCCGACTCCTGTCAGCACAGGTGAGTTCTGCCTGTTCTTGGACTTAACATGACAGAGCATGTTCTCTTCTGTGTGTGACTGCTGTCACTCAGCATTTTGAGGCCCATCCTTACTGTATCGCAAATACACTCCTTTCTTCCCAAGTGGTGTTCCATTCTGTACACGCAGCAGTCTTTGGAGAGCCTTGCTGGTGGGCATCCGCGCTGTTTCCAGTTGTTGGATGCTGTGGACAGTGCTGCTATGATCATCTTCGCACAAGTCTTTTTTGTGGACATCTATTTTTATTTTTCTTGGATCAGCGGGTAGAACTGGAATTTCTGGGTTGTAAGGTGGTTCCTAACTTAATAGGAAGTGCAGAATCTTTCTCTACAGTAGCTTGCCTGCTCTGTCCTCCCGCCAGCAGAGTGGGAGGGTCCTGGCTGCTCCCCGTCTCTGGGACTCGCCCTGCTTCTTGGTCTTCTGGGCTTCGGGGAGTCTAGCGGATGTGGAATGGTGTCACACTGTGTGCTTAGATGTTACAGCTGTTAAGAGTTCTTTATATATTTTAAGCTCTCTGCCAGATACATGTATTGCAAATATTGCTTTCCCACAGTTGGTGGCTTACTTGATTGAAAACTGAACATTTTAAAATGATGTGAGTCATGCTGTGCATGTGGGCTCAGTTGCTTCAGCTGTGTTCGACTCTCTTGCGATCCCTGGACTGTAGCCCCCCAGGCTCCTCCATCCAAGGGGCACTCCAGGCAAGAACACTAGAGTGGGTTGCCATGCCCTCTTCCAGGGGATCTTCCCAACCCAGGGATCAAACGCACATCTCTTATGTCTCCTGAATTGCCAGGCAGATTTAAATCCCCATCTGAAACGACATGGCTATTTAGTCATTACAGATGCCACTTAGCATCAGTATTCATGTTTCACGGCAAAAATGTTGGTTTGCTTAATTACAAGACATTGAACCCACTGAACGTTTTAAATCATATATGGTTTATGTGCTGTTTTCCTTTTCCACAGTCAGGAATATTTTAAATTTCAGAAGCATTTGGTCTTAAGAGTCAGGGGTTGCAGACACACTAGTTTCAGCAGGGACCTGGATGGAGGTGTGAGGTTCCTGGGATGCCGAGTGGACACTGAGGACAAGAGCATTGGCGCTTTATATTAAGCAACTTTGTTAGTTGTTATAATAAAATATTTTTATGGATTGTAGGTATTTTAATTACAAACTTTTAGAAGTTGTCAACCATGCTCTTTCTATACTTTTGAAGGCACATCAAGACAACAGAATTATAGCACATTAAATTATGGAAATTATAGTGATAAAGCCTAATAAAATTGGTTTTTCATTTTGGATTATTCAGAGTTGATTATGAAGGCTTCCCAGGTGGCGCTATCGGTAAAGAACCCTCCTGCCAATACAGGAGATGTGAGAATTGCAGGTTTGATCCCTGGGTCAGGAAGATCCCCTGGAGGAGGGCACGCGGCCCACTCCGGTATTCTTGCCTGGAGAGTCCCAGGGGCAGAGGGGCCTGAAGGGCTAGAGTCCACAGAATCGCAGAGGGTCAGACACGACCGGGGTGGCTTCATGCATGCACCCTCTCATCATGACTTGGTAGTTCTTCGCAAATGTTCTTTCTTTTTTTTTCTTTTTTTTCTTGGATCAGTGGGTAGAAATGGGATTGCCGGATGCTAAGGTAGTTTAACTTAATAGGAAAGTGCAGAATCTTTCTCTACAGTAGTTTGCCTGCTCTGTCCTCCCGCCAGCAGAGTGGGAGGGTCCTGGCTGCTCCCCGCTCTGGGACTCGCCATCCATCCTTGTGTCCAATCATCCTCGGCATTGGTCTTCTGGACTTCGGGGAGTCTAGTGGATGTGGAATGGTGTCACACTGTGTTCTGCCTTAGAAGTCTGCTCCTCAGAAGAACAGTGGAAACCAAATTTTCAACTGTAATAACTGCAAGAATATAACTGACTTTCAGTTTTAGATGATTAGTGTTTGAAAGCTGATGAGATGGAGGGCTGTGTAAAGCCAAGAGCAACAGCTAGCGAAATGCCTGAGCTAACTAGATAAGCACTCAGGGCACCGGACTCGGCCGAGCTGAGAACTCCCCGCTCTGCTGTGCTGATGCATGCGGGTACTGTTGATTAAGTTGATTATCGAAAATTGTTTCAGTAGAAAAGTTATGAACATAATTTAACCTGAAATTGTAGAAATAAATATAGAAATAAAAAATATAGAAACTGTTTTCTCGGTCAAAAAGACCTCTATTGTGACAGCAGTTTCTTGTGGGTTATCTGTTTTAAATATAGCAGTGTGTACATGTGAATCTTGAATTCTCAATCTGTCCTGCCCTCCGGGAACCATAAGTTAATTTTCTACTGAGTCTGTTTCTGTTTTGAAAGTAAGTTCATTTGTATCAGTTTTTTTTTTTTTATTCTGCATATAAGCAAGAGCATATGCTATTTCTTTGACTTAATTCACTTAGTAAGATCATCTCTGGGTTTATCCAAGTTACCACAAATGGCATTATTTCATTCTTTTATAGCTGAGTAATAATCCATTGTGTATATATACATGTATCTATTCCATATAGAATATTCTAATATACATACCCTACATCATTTTCAATGTTTAATATGGTTAAAAGTCACCTAACTTTAAACATGCTATTTTAACCATATTTAGCTGTACAGTTCAGTGGCACAGAGTACATTTGTATTATTGTGCACCCATCACCACCGTCCATCTCTAGACTCATTCGCCTTCCTAAACTGAAACTGTCCCCAGCAAGCACTGACACCCCATTCCCCCAGCCTCTGGCCTTTGGCATCCACCAGTGTACCTTCTGACTGTGATTTTGACTGTTCTGGGAACTTCATATAAGTGGAATCAAACAGTATTTGCACCTATTTGATACGGGAATACATTTTAAGATTAATAGATGTTCTACGAAAGGTTGTACCTTTCCCCCCCTCCGTGCTATACAGTAGGTTCATACGTCAGTCTGAGTCTTCCACCTTGTCTCCCCTTCCCGTCCATACATGTGTCTCTGCTTGGCAGCTCTGCAGGTAGGTTCATCTGTACTATTTTTATTTATATTTGGTTTTTACATTATGTGACTTTTACCACAATTAAAAATAATAAAAAAGACGTAGGGTATATATTAGAATATATACATGTATACACAGTAGAATACTTTTTGCTGTTGCTTAGTTGCTCAGTCACGTTGGGTTCTTTGTGCCCTCATGACCTGCAGCACGCGACTTCACCGTCTCCCGGAGTTTGCTCAAACGCATGTCCACTGGGCTTCCCAGGTGGCTTAGAGGGTAAAGCGTCTGCCTGCAATGTGGGAGACCCGGGTTCGATCCCTGGGTCAGGAAGATTCCCTGGAGAAGGAAATAGCAACCCAGTCCAGTACCCTTGCCTGGAAAATCCCATGGATGGAAGAGCTGGGTGGGCTCCAGTCCATGGAGTCGCTCAGAGTCGGAATGACTGAGCGACTTCACTGTCTTTCTTTTCGGTCATAAAAAGAATGACATTTGTGGCAATATGGATGAACCTAAGGATTATCATATTAAGTGGAATAAGTCAGACAGGGAAAGACGTATCATATGAGATCACTTATACGCAGAATCTAAAAGGAAAGGATAGAAATGAACTTATTTACAAGTGGAAACAGACTCACAGGCTTAGAGAACGAACTTAGAGTTACCAGGGAAGGGGAGAGGTAAATTAGTCATCTGGGATTAACAGACACACACTGCTATATGTAACATACAACAAGGGCCTACTGTGCATCACACAGAGAACTATATTCAATATCTCATAATAACTTACAATGGAAAAGAATCTGTAAAAGAAATGTGTGCATACACACACATATGTTTGTGTAAATCCTTGTAAGTCAAGTATACTTCAATAAAAAATGAGATAATTCTCATCTGCCTGTGGGAAGATTGCTGTCACTTTTCTGAAGAACGAAAGCCATTATAGTTCAGAGAGAACGCGGATCGTTCCCCTGCTCTGCTAGGCCGGGGCAGTGCTCGGATACGAATAAACTCTATCCTCTTGCCAGCGCACCATGAGCTCCTTCGCTCTCTGCTGCAGTGGTGAGGGCCGTACACAGTGCCTCACCTGTGAGGTCAAGTCTGGGCCACACGACGGGCCGCAGACCCCCAGGCTCTCTGTGACAGGGTTTCCAGTTCTGAAGTCTGTGACTCTCCCAGTCAGAGGCTGCCCGTCGGGCTGTCTCACCGCTCACCGGGGAAGTGATGACGGCCATGTGGATTTTTCTCGGGCCCCGATGACCTCACCAGGCAGGGATCTGCCCATGGTCTCAGGTGAGTCAAGCTGGAAGGCATAAACTTGCGTAAAGCCTTGTTTTCTCCTGAAACACACTTCTGTGAAGGGTTAAAACAAAGGCAGAAGTGCCTGCACTTCATCTGAAATGATGGACTTGCCCTGGAGAAACGAGAAGGGACCATTTCCTCTCAGCGTCGGTTGAAACCCCCTCCGCCCGCGCACTCCTGTTCCGGCATACAGCCCGGCACGTTCTCAGGAGCCGGAGAACAGCTGTACTGATCAGAGTCTAAAAGCGGACGGAACAGCAGTATTATGTCATCAAATCTTCCAGCCCTAGGAGCAAGTGATAAGACGCATTCTTTTTTCCCCATTTGCAGGTGCATTCATTTACAACTAAATAGCAGGAATGCCTCTCACACAGGCAGTTAATACGGACTAGAATTTTCCCAGTAACCAGATGGCGTACATTTCATACCACGCTTGTTGAATTAAGAACTAAAATCTGCCAATAAGTTGCATGGAAGTTTTCCACAGTCTCCTTAGGTGACCTCATTTAAGATTTTGAATTTCTTTGAGGTCAGAAAGCTTATAAATATTCAGTCCTTGGTGACTCATTGTCAGGGCTATGGTGGAGTAATTATAGAATAACTCTAGTTAGCCATCATTGAAAATACTCTTTCGCTCACGTTGGGTCATGCTTTTTTTCTTGTTACCTTCTGCTTGTCTATCGACTGCTTCAATACAGTCTTTATTCAAAGAGCCACCTAAAAAAGATGGGTCTAGAAAGTCATGGAGTGCGCTATTCCCTTTGATTCGGGACATCATCACCATAAGTCTGAAATTTTGCAGAGCAGATAGAAGTATTGAGATATTTATACTTAAATTTTTTTTTCAGTGTAGTAACACATTATTTTGACTTTACACAGCATATCTGTTACTTCATCGTCTACTATTGACACTCTGATTTTCCTTAGGACCACATCCCTGCCCTCTACTCACCCTGAAACGGAGGCGGGGCATGTGATCTGGACCTTCCTAAGGAGGATACATCACAGGCTGCATCCAGACGGTCTTGTGTCCTGAGTCAGCCAATCAGAGCCAGCGGAACACAACTGGGGCAGCTTTGTTGACATCATTAGGAAGAAATGTCTTTAAGTTTATAGCTGGTGGACATCTTAATACCGTGTAAGGGAGCTCGTCTGAGAATGAAGCCCAGAAGGCTTTAGAGATGAAGGAAGAGGCAGAGACGGCCCTTCAAAACTCGTGTTTGTTCAGCGAGAGAGAGGACAAGGGGCCCATATTCGCAGCAAGAGCTTTGTTCTACCCTCAGGAGATATCCATATATATATATATATATATATATGACACACAGCATTCTCTATTTGCTAAAGTCAGTGTAAACCGGGTTTTCTGCTACTTGGAACTAGGTCTTGAATAATATATATAGCAAATCATATTTATGCTCTGACTCTGGAAAAACAACAGTATGTTCCCAGGCATAGATTATTCAGTGGGAATTATCTGCTCAAATTTAAAACAGAATGAGAATTTGACTCATATTTCTAAGAATTCTATCTAAGTAAACCAGCATGCAGAATGCTTGCTTTTCCAGTCTTACCTGAAGAGATGGCCTGGAGGAGAATTCTGGTACCTGTGAGGTGGTCTCCTTTTGAACATTTATACACATGTATCAAGTATCATGAGTTGCAGGGTTGTGGTTGTTTCCATATGAAGGAAACCATATACCTGTAAAATGCCTTTCTTCCTAAGGCTTCTTCCTAAGCCCTAAAGGGCTTCTCTGGTAGCTCAGCTGATAAAGAATCCTCCTGCAATGCAGGAGACCCTGGTTTGATTCCTGGGTCAGGAAGATCCCCTGGAGAAAGAATGGGCTGCCCACTCCAGTATTCTGGCCTGGAGAATCCCATGGACAGAGAAGCCTGGTGGGCTACAGTCCATGGGTTGCAAAAGGTCAGATATGACTGAGCAACTTTCACTTCCATTTGCTCACCAGCAGCATCGCGGTCAGGATTAGCACTGTGATGAATAGACAATACCAGCCCACAGTCAGAACTAAATAAGGACAATTTTTATGCAATTCAGATGACCCTAGTCACTTCAGTCTCCAGAATGTAGTATTTTTCTTTACACGGTGCAGGGGCTGGCATTATACAGTCCTGGAGGGCACCACTTGCATTGCACTCTGAACACTCGCTCTTTCTGAGTATTTCTAGAGGCCTGTCTGAACTCGGCCTCTAGAGCTGCACTATCGTGGCCAGCCATTTTAGAAGTCTGAAATGGCAGGAAACCCAGGCCTCTCTCACTCCTGAGAACTCTTGCTGCATCAGTGTTTAGAGTATTACACAGCTTTATGATGGCTTGTGCTTTTATGGCCTGAACAGTTTCAGCCAGAGTCCTGCAGGGCCTTCCGCACTGTCTCGGCTGGTCACTCTGGCTGATGTGGCCTGGCTACACCTGCACTACCCCCCAGGGAGAGACGGGACCCACTGGGGGGTTTAACCCGCTCCTCCAGGAGGGAGAGGGGATGACTGAGTGCAGAAGTGCCGTGGAAGTGGCTACAAAAAGGCCAGTCCTGGGGACACTGCTCTGAGCCAGGCACTCAGGCTTTCAGGCAGCTCAGCGTCTATACTAGGAAAGCCTCAGCTTGGCACCTGAGTCCTGGATCTCTCAGGACTCAGAAAAGTCAGTCCCTCCCTACTCTAGGCCACGGCCCCTCTCCTGAGGAAGAACGGTTAACGGAGAAGGATGAAACACTGGCGGAGCTGCAGCTGGGTTTGAACTCCAGACCCACTGTGTGAGTGTGCTAAGTCACCGCCGTCGTGTCCGACTCTCTGTGACCCCCATGGACTGTAGCCCACCAGGCTCCCCTGTCCATGGGATTCTCCAGGCAAGGATACTGGAGTGGGTTCCTTCTCGAGGGGATCTTCCCCACCCAGGGACCAAACTCTTAGCTCTGAAGTCTCCTGCATTGGCAGGCAGGTTCTTTACCACTAGCACCACCTATACCATCATTTATATGGCTACAGGTACAGAGAGGGAGTTACGTGCTTTTGGCAACATCAGAGTTGAGACTGGGAAACCAAGCTCTCTGTTTAGACCCTTTCTCCTTGTCCTTAAAAGGCAATCACAAAATCCAGGGGTCCATCCCAGAGTTCAGTATAGTTGTTCAGAACCAGTGTATTTGGGCCACAAGCAAACTCCCCAGGTGAAGTCTCTGTGCTCGTCCAGCCTCTTGCTAGCAGAATAAAGAGCAGTTCCATTCTCCATTCTTTCCAGCTGGACTATAAGCCCAGTTTCCTACAGCCTCCAGCTCAGAACACACAAACACACACACACACACACACACACACACACACACACACACACAAGCAAGCCCAATTCCCTACAGCCTCCTGCTCAGAAAATACCCTCCCCACCCCCTGCCCCCACCTCTTCCCAAACTTAACTTTTCAGACACAAAAATACAAGTTCATATTTAAAAAGAAAAGTGTCTCCAACATACGTTACCAAGCGGAGGACTTAAATTGCTAAGTCTGAAGGAAACCTTCCATTCTACTATGTACTTAACTCACAGTCATCTGAGTGAAACAATACTCTAGAGGGACCTCTCCCAAAAAACAAAAAAAGACACAACTTGTATCCTAAAATGTGGAAACCTGCAACCTCTAAAAAGGCAGTGCTTAAGATATTTTCAGATCCAGTGTTCACTGACCACTGACCTGTTTCTCCCACTTACTTGAAAGTACAGTCTGCACTTTGAGCATCAAGCATCACCACTGTGTTGCTGACACTAAAGGGAAAAATCCCGTCCAGCCCTTCAGCAGATACTCCGCTTCTCCCAAGATGCCTCCGTCTGGATGCTCAGCCACCACCTGAGAACCACAGGTGTGGGGAAGATGGTGTCAGACACAGACAGCGCAGCTTGAGGGTCAGCAAGTCTGTTTTGAATCCCAGCCGGACCCTGTGTAGCTCTGTGACCTTGGGCAACTTACTGAGCTAGCCAAAAGGTTCATTCTGGGCTTTTTGTAACATCTATGGAAAACCCCGAACGAAGGTCTTGGCCAACCCCATAGATAGCCTCCAACACTCCATTTCCTCAAGGGCAGAATGGGACCAGTCAGAGAGCCCATCTCAGTGGACCGCGAGGAGGAGGTAATGTCACCGCAGAGTGACGGGGACGTGTGTCTGATGAAAGTGTTTCTATCTTCTTACGTTATTATTATGCACAAGTTAGATTTCTCTCTCTCCATTCACATGTAAACTTCTCTTCAGCACAGTGGCACTTTTCCCCCCAGGATCAAAACTTTGACGCTTTAACTTATTTTCTGTTATTCTTATGTCAGATTGTTTATTGAATGATATGGCATATTAATAAATACATTGAACAATTAGGAGGAAATGAATGGAATCACTGAGTGCTATTTCTTTTGGAAATTTCTCTTAACCCCTTTGTGCCTGCTCAGGACCCTGGTGTGAACTTCACCTTCTAGTGCGTTATCACCTCCCCGAAGGCCCCAAACTGAACGCTCGCCCTCTGCACCTTGGTCCCTACAATTCATTGTCTAATCAGGTTTTCTCAGATACTTTTCAATCTGTCACTATATAGTGGCTTTTAATTTCCATAGGTGGTTTTCATCTAAACTGCTCACTCTGGCATCAAAAGGTCACCATCGGCAGGAACCTGCCCCCCCCCCCCCCAAGCTGATCTCTGTCTGCTCCCCGCCCCGGTCCTCCATTCCTGAGCCTGGGTCCTCCCCCACCACCCAGCAGGTGCACTGGACGAGTCCCTCAAGCTTTGTGACACTAAATCCACTTGTGTCCTTCATCCTGCCTTCCAAATAAGACAGTGTCTCCATCAGTGTGGTTACAGAGCCAGCCTCGGTTGCTGTGCCGTGCTGGGCAACAATGCACAAGGCTTGGCCCAGCCCCTGGGGGCTCCCAGACCCCCAGCAAGCATCCTGTGAACTTGGCCCTGGCTGCCTCTGGTTCATCTGCCACTCTGCCTGACACCTGGTCTTCA